TGGGGACACCCAGGGGACAGCCAGCCCCGAGTGTAATCCCAGCTCTCCACATCGTGCAGAGCTTGGGGAGCATCCACCATCCCAGAGGCTTTTGGCTCACACTGCCAGTGCTTTTGGGACCTGGTGGCCCCAGTGCTCCCATCTCTCAGCCCATGGAAAATCCTGCCAGGGTGGGTGTACAGGTTTGAGGGAATTCCTGGGATCCCAGAGCTTTTCCTGAGCAGGGCTTTGCGTGCAGGGAGGAGCTATCTCTGCATCTCTGCTGTTCCCTTCTAGCCTGGGGACAAACTCCATGCTTGCCCTCTGATTCACAGGTGCCTTGTGAATCACCCTTGAGAATGGCACAGGGCGATCGATCAGCCCAAACTGTGCCTCCTTCCCCCGGGAGGAGGGAGGGCAGTAGGGAAAAGGGTTCAGGCTGATTTGAAAGCACTGCTGGAGCAGAGCCACGTGCTGGGTTTAAAGTGTCCATCTCCTTTGGATCCAGCTCTGCTGCACCCACAGGTCCAACCTGGACTGATTAGACAACCGGCAGCTCCGTCACCCACCAGCTCCCCAGAAGCTGCTCAGGGAGGTTGAGCAGAGATTTTTATCCCTTCCAAAAGACAGAAACCAGTGTGAAGTTCTGTGCATGGTGTTGGGGGGTTTTCCTCTGTCACTAGTGCAGGGGACAAACAGCAAAAGCGAGACACAGAATTATTGATCCCCACAGGGAATGGCTCCTGATAACAGATCACAAAGAGCCAAAGGACAGAAATTAGAGATGCAGGGTTCACTTTTAATTGAGAGGGCTGTTGGGTGTTAGAGCAACTCCTCTCTTCCCCCCAGGAGAGTCACAAGGGGTTGTTCTGGCCCATTTTGGGGCTGGGGACTGATTTCCCCAGAGAGGAGGTGCCACCAGCCCGAGTGCTGGCATCAGGCAGAGGGAGAAGCCTGTGTCTGCCCAGAGCTTTTCCTGCAGGAATGAGGGTGCTGGGAGCATCTGGAAGTGGAGCTGGAGCCCTGCTGCTGTGGCTGGACTCATGACTCACTTTAAAACCAACCATAAAAGCAATTTTGCATGGAGTGATCAAAGCTTCCCTGGCTTATCACCACCCCGATTCCAGTAACGAAACCGTGGCGCTCACAGACTGCCCGGGCAGTAATTGGAGGGCTTAATTGAGGAAGGTCATTAGGGGCAGGCAAAGATAGGGCAACTGGAGCCTCTCACCTCCTGTGAGCTGCTGAGGCTTTCACAGCAGCCGTGGTGATAAGGGGAGGTTCAGGCTGGATACCAGGAAAGGCTCCTCACCCACAGGGAGGGCAGGCACTGAGTGGGCACAGCCCCAGGAGCTCCAGGAGCGTTTGGACAGTGCTCTGAGGCACAGGGTGGGATTGTTGGGGTGTCTGGACTGATGATCCTTGGGGTCCCTTCCAGCTGAGGAGATTCGATGCTGTGATTTTGTGAAGCCCAGCAGGAAAGCTGGGGCCTCTGCTGGGGTCTGGCCTGTTGGAAAGGATGTCCAAGGAGTGGTGAACATGCAGGGGGTTCAGACCAAGGTCTCAGAGGTCCCTCCCGCCTTTGCAGAATTCCTGGAAAGGTCTTCCACAGCTCTGACGGTTCCATCAGCATCAAGAGAGGGAGAGGCGCTAAATGTAGGTAGGGAGTTATAAAGCGGCTGCTTTGCCTCCCGCCCCATGAAGAGAAGGGAAGGATAATTTGCCTGCCCATTCCTCTCCCCTCAAGCCTCTTCCCTTCCCCTGCTCCATCCTGACACAGAGGTGACTTCTTCAGCCCTCCAGGAATGGATCTTGGGGAGCCCTCCCACCCACCAGCAAGAGACTGTTCCACACCACTGTTGTTAATATTAAGCTGCTTATCTGCCCTGGGGCCATAAAACTCTCATCTGCAAAGGGGGAAAAAAATCTCCCTCTGTTCTTTCTATCTGCTCCTGCTTATTGCAGCCTTATCAGCACACCCAGCCAGCCTTTGGGGCATGGGAGTCACGCAATGGCTGCAGCAAACAAGACCTGTGGTCCCACAGCAGGGCCAGCATTGTGTGTCCCCCCGGGCCAAGTCCACCCCGTGGGGACAGCATAGCACTGATGAGTCCCCAGCAATCTCACTGAACTTCTGAGTCACCAGGGTAGGCACTGAGGTGCACCTCCAGTGGATGATAACACCTTCTCCTGCAGCAGGGGAATGCTGGCCTTGGGATGCTCCTCATGGGAAATGGGTTTGGGGTTTTGGTGCACTGACCTGTGGGATGTCCCTTGTGGGAAGTGGGTTTGGGATTTTGGTGCATTGACCTGTGGGATGTCCCCTGTGGGAAGTGAGTTTGGGTTTTTTGTGCACTGACCTGTGGGATGTCCCCTGTGGGAAGTGGGTTTGGGATTTTGGTGCACTGACCTGTGGGATGTCCCCTGTGGGAAGTGGGTTTGGGACTCTGGTGCATTGACCTGTGTCCTTGTCATAGTTGGTGGAGCTGTTATTTGGCTGGTGAACCTCATGGGTTGTCCTAAAGCGTCCTTCCATGTTTTTTTCCAATGCCTTTTGGTAGCCTGCAGCAGGTTTGGACCTTCCCCTCCAGTGCTTTTCCTACCATATTGGGATCATGATGTTCAGCGGGGAAGACAAAGCTGGTGTGATGCCAACAGCTGCTTGTGCTGGCTCAAAGAATTCGGGTGGCTCTGAGGCTGTCACCAGCAAGAAATGGTGACCAAGCAGGGCCTGGACACACAGAGTCACTGCTTTTCCCTCAGGCTGCTTTAGCAGGTCTGGACAAGCCAGGATCTCCCCGAATTCTTGGGCAATCGGCTTCCCCGTTCTCTTCCCCACCGCGCTTTCATCTCTGCCTCTTCTGGGAAGCTTTTGTGCAATGCCTGATGAGTGATTGGCATTTGGACATGGCAGGAGCTCTGGCTGCAGCCCCACTGCTCGGGGTCTGGGGCCGTGGGGGCAGAACCCTCCCCTGGCATGGGTGCAGGACAGAGCGTGCTGCCCCGGGGTGGTGCCTGTCCCCGTGTCATCCCTGCTGCCAGGTGCTGGGGCTGGCTGGGGTGGCTTTGCGTGCAAAGCTGGGGAAAAGGAGGCATCTGGCTCTGCTGGCACGGGCTGACTGGCAGCCAATGTAAACTCTTGGGTTTGAGCTGGAGCAACTCCTGGGTGTCATTATTTTCCTGCCGTGAAAACACCTTTGTTCCAGTCCAGAACAGCAGCAGTTTGGCTTTCCCAGCAGCCAGGGCTGAAGGTGTCCTTCCTTGTGTCCTCCCTTGTGTCTTCCCTTGTGTCCTTCCTTTTATCCTTCCTTGTGGCCTCCCTTGGCTATTCCCTTGTGTCCTTTCTTGTATCCTTCCTTGTGTCCTTCCTTATGTCCTCCCTTGTGTCTTCCAGGGCCACCACCGACCATGGTGGAGGAGGTGGATGAAGGCTCAAGTTGCCCCAGGCCAGGTTTAGATATTGGGAAAATTTCTTGACCATGAAGTTGGTCAGTGGTGGAGTCACCATCCCTGGGGGTGTCAAAACATGCGGCACGTGGGGACACGGGTTAGTGGTGGCCTTGATGATAATAAAGCCTTTTCCAACCTAAACAATTCCGTAATTCTGTAATTCTGTTGGGGGCTGTGGGGTTATGGCATGGGTTGGCTGTCCTGCATCCATCAGAGAGCGACTCCCAAAGGATAAGGTCCAAGACTGAGTTTGGTGGAATATCCAACATTTAATGGAATATCTAATGTTAGAAAGACCAGGAAACAAAACAGGCAACAATTGCTACAAAACAAAGCAGATAAAGCAAAAGGACCAAAGGTTTCAGTTTATCCCAGTTGTTCCAGACTCAGCTCTGCTGGCAGGACACCCTGGAGGTGTCTGCGCCCGCCGCTCAGCTCCTGCCCTTGGTGGGGAAGCGCTGCCTGGCCTGGAAGTGCTCACACCTCTTGTGCTTCAGGGACAGCCCGTAGAGCGGGGTCATGTCCACGGTGCCGCCCTCGCAGACGCTGAACTCCAGCTGCTGCAGCAGCGTGGTCAGGAAGAGGAACACCTGCCAGCGGGCAATGTTCTCCCCGATGCACCTCCTCTTCCCCAGGCCAAACGCCAGCACCTTCTCCCCGTCCTCTTTGTTCACCTTGGTCCCGTCAGCGCTGAGGAAACGCTCGGGGTTGAAGGTCTCTGGGTCCTTCCAAAGCTTCCTGGAAGGGAGAACATCGGGTGTTGGGATGGTTTCTCCTGGGGGTGGGTGTTGAGGGGACACTGGAAGGTGGTGCTCCAGATTGCAAAGCAAGGTGTTTTCTATTACCGTCTGTGTGGCAGATTATCTTTGTCAAGTGGGCAGTTTGCCTTATCTCTCTCTTTGAGTGACCACATTCACACCTCCCTCTGGAGGAGACATCTGCTGATAACAGCTATTGAATGTCACTGCATGGCTGATAAGAACTACAGCATCCCATTGGGAGATGTGAGCCCAGAGGGAGGAGCCAAGCATTGCTACCCAGATATAATCTGGAGATTCTGGAACACCAGCACAGCTTCTCCAAGGGATTCCCCAGAGGAACAGCAGCTGTCTCTTCTTCCACTGGATCTTCAGAGGAAGAATACATCCTCCTCTACAGATCCCCCTTGCTCCAACAGAACCATCCCTGACACTGCAGGAGGGCTGAGCCACATTCCCAATGGGACTGCCACCAACACCCTGACCCACAGGGTGTCAGGTTGGGTTCTGACTCTGGCAGTGTTGTTCTAGTGCACTGCATTGTTTTTATTTGTTTTTCTTCCCTATTAAAGAACTGTTATTTCCTACTCCCATATTTTTGCTTGAGAGCCCCTTAATTTAAAATTTACAGCAATTCGGAGGGGTGGGGAGGGTTCACATTCTCCATTTCAGGGGAGGCTCCTGCCTTACTTAGCAGACTCCTGTCTTTCCAAACCAAGACAGGTGGGAACTGTTGGGAAGAACATCCCTGATGGTTTGCCACCACGGGAGGGGCCCTGTTTGTCCCTGCAGGAGGGGACCTGTTTGCCAGCACAGAAAAGGACCTGTTTTCCAGCACTGGAGGGTTTGTGCCTCACGGTACTCACTCGTCGTGGTTCACCTGCCACTGGTTGACGAACACGCAGCGATCCTTCGGGATGAAGTAGCCGTTCAACACCGTGTCCTTGGTGGTGCTGGGGAGAGAAAAGATGGAGAGCAGGTTCTTCTGCGTCCTCAGGGGACTGGCAGGCTGCTCCTGAAGGGTGTGACCCAAAGGGGTGGTTTTGTGGGGACAGTTGTGTCCTCCACGAGCTGTAACATGGTGCCTCAAGGCCACCTCAACCCTGGAGCAGCTGTGCCAGCCACCACTGTTCAGCATCGTCACTTTTGTTGTGTTGAAGGGAAGAAAGGAGTTAGAGGAGACCCACAGCT